AAAAAAAAAAGATTTGAAATGGATTTGAGTGTTTGAAAAAGTACCAGATACACACAGAAACAAAAGTAAGAAATAGTAAATGATATGTATACAATGGTGGTTGCCTGTATACAGAGATGAGATACTTACTGCCTTAAAACTATTTCTGATATCAAGTCAAAAGAGAAAATAGAATGTTTGTATTTCATCTCCTTTGATGTCAAAGAAAATTATTCTACCCATAAATTGGTGCTGCTCTCAATGCCAGGCAGGAAAGCCTCTTTTTAAAGTAGTCAGCAGCTGGTTTAGACTCCCCACTGGGCAAGGTGACTGCTGAGTGCTAAGCCCTAAGTGTGACAACTTTTCAAAAGCTACTATTTTAATTTTGTACCAAACTCCAAGAATAATTTAGCCATGGATCTTTATGAATAGATAGCTACAATATATTGATGGTTATTATGGACCAGGAACTCTTCTTTGTATAATCAATAATTTAATTCTCATAACAGAATGGCAAGACAGACTGTTACTTTACTTTACAGGCTAAAAATAAAGGCAGAGAGAGAAACATTACCCATGATCCTCTCTAAAACAGTAGCTACCACCGAACACATGTGGTCTATGGACTTCAGACTTCCACACTGTAGTGATACCTTTATCAGTGGTCACAGATGACCAAGGCCAACACTCCGTCAAAGCCAGGAGCAATGCTTGCTTTTGATTAACCCACAGCCCTGAAGTTCCTGAGTGAGACCATTAAACTAAATTGTCCTCAGCCACAGGGTATGCTGATCAATAAAATATCATCCAGATAAGTTTATTATTTAAAAATTAGTTGCACTAAAATTCAGTCCTCCCTATAGAATGGGAAAAGATCTTCACCAACCCCACATCTGACAGAGGGCTGATCTCCAAAATATACAAAGAAACCAAGAAACTATACAGTAAAATACCAAATAATCTAATTTGAAAATGGGTACAGATTTAAACAGAGAATTCTCAACAGAAGAATCTCAAATGGCCAAAATATACTTAAAGAATTGTTCAACATCCTTAACCGTCAGGGAAATACAAGTCAAAAGGATTCTGAGATAGCATATTATACCTGTCAGAGTGACTAATACTAAAAACACTAATGGTAGCTTGTGGTGGAGAGGATGTGGAATAAGGGGAACACTCCTCCACTGCTGGTGGGAGTGCAAATTTGTATAGCCACTTTGGAAATCAGTATGGCATTTTCTAAGAAAATTGGGAATCAATCTACCTGAAGACCATGCTTGGCCATATACCCAAAGGATGCTCAATCATACCACAAGGACACTTGCTCAACTATGATCATAGCAGCATTATTCATAATAGCCAGAACCTGGAAACAACAAAGATGCCCCTCAACCAAAGAAAGGTTAAAGAAAATGTGGTACATTTACAGTGAAGTATTATTCAGCTGTAAAAAAAAAAAAAAAAAAAAAAAATCATAAAATTTACAGGCAAATGGATGGAACTAGAAAAAAAACATTCTGAGGGAGGTAACCCAGATCCAGAAAGATAAACATAAGATGTACTCACTCATTAGTGGTTATTAGGTATAAGTAAAAGATAACCAGGCTACAATCCACAGACCCAAAGAGTCTAGGTAGCAAGGAGGGCCCAAAGAGGGATGCATGGATTTCCCTGAGAAGGAGAAATAGAAGAGATCTCCTAGGTAAACTGGGGTGGGGTGGTGGTGATGGATGGGAACATGAGGGATTGGGTTGGTCAAGTTGGGGGCGGGACGGAGGGGGAAAGTAATGAAAGAGATGTCTTGATGGGGGTGGGGACATTTTGGGGTTAGGGAGAAACCTGGTGCCAGGGAAACTCCCAAGAATCCACAAGGAAGACCCCAGCTAAGACTCCTAGCAATAGTGGAGAGGGTGCCTGAACTGCCTATTTTCTTTAATCAGATTGGTGACTACCCTAATTGTCATCAGAGAGCCTTCATCAGTAACTGATGGAAACAAATGCAGAGATCTGCAGCCAAGCACTGGGCCGAGCTCCAGGAATCCTGTTGAAGAGAGGGAGGAGGGATTGTACAAGCTAAGGGGACAAGGTCATGATGGGGGAACCCACACAGACAGCTGACCTGAGCTCCTGGGAGCTCACAGACTTTGGACCAACAGCTAGGGAAGCTGTGTGTTGCTGACCTAGGCCCTCTGAATACGTGTAACAGTTGTGTAGCTTGCTCTGTTTGTAGGGCTCCTAGCAGTGGGATCAGCACCTGTCTGTCCCTAGTACTTGAGCTGGCTTTTGGGAACTGATTCCCCATGCTGGGTTGCCTCCCCTGGCCTTGACACAAGGAAAGGAGCTTGGTCCTGCCTCAATTTGATGTGCCATGCTTTGTTGACACCCATGGGAGGCCTGCCCCTTTGTGAAGGGAGGAGGAGGAGTGGATGGGGAGTGGGGTAGATGGGAGGTGGGGGGCGGAACTGGAGAAGAGGAAGGAGGGGAAACTGTACTCGGTATTTAAAATAAATGAAAAAAAAGTTAATTAATAAGAAATCTTTTTAAAAAATAAGTCCTCTGAGTTCATAAAAATTGGAAAATGAGGTCATACTGAACTCACATGGGGACAGCAGCCATGAGCTGGTGCAGAGTGGCTTGGACTGTTTTTGGATGAGATGTGTTTCTGAAGACATAGGCTGACATCATTCCACACTGTCTCTTCCACAAGATGCTCCTGGCTCCTGTATGTCACCTCTCCACTGGTGGAGGCATTGGGACTCTGTTCTGGTGACTGGAATTCAGTGAGGCAAAATTTGGGACAGTGGTAGAAAGCAAACTCTCACAGTGCCAAGAAAAGGAACTGGCATCGGAGTCTGTCCCTACGGCCTCAGAGAAATGGTGTGTGTACTCAATTTGAAGGTGCTATAAACATAGCTAAGTACAGACGGAAGCCAATGTGCAGAGCAGTTCTCTTAGGGACTGCTACTGTAACTGTGGCGAAGGGGAGGAGGAAGGACTGTGAACGAAAGAATCTCCAGGAAAAATACTAGAAAGAGGCAGAGAAAGGCCGTGAAAGAGCAGTACAAACAGATAGTTGGGGGACAGCTGGCCCCTATAATGAAAACCCATCAAATCCTCCAACCCTTTTGGTGACAAGCACCAGAGAAGACAGCTGAGAGAAGCCACAGAGACTAAGCTGAGGTTTCGGGGTTCAGGTAACCAGAGAGATCTAAGGAGATCTAAAGATAGGTGGTGTCCTGGGTGGCCCAGCTTCCATGCCACCCCAAAAGAGGCCTCTGCTCTCTCAGCCTCAGGGAGGCTCAGAAGTTTGGCAGCAGGTGTGCTAAAGGCAGGGGGGATAGGACTCTACTGAACTCAGTCCTAAATGACCAGGAAACTTTTCCTTAATGATATTGGGAAACCTTTGCTGTATGATTCCCCTCTCCTCACCAACACCCGGCTGGGGGTGAAGGTGCTCTAAAAAAATAATAATAACAGAAACAATGGATACGTTGGTATCATACAAACTTATTCTGAAAGGATTGCAAAGACTTTGTGGAAAAAAATTAAAGGGGATAAATGAACCTGATGTACAGCAATCACTGATAATCTGTTGATAATTGCGCTCTCTTTTCTTTATTTTTGCTTTTCAGTGATTTTGAAGAGACATTCCCCGAAGGCCAGATGTTTAGGATCAGGATAACTGACTGTCAGTCAAAATGATGTTGATGGAACAAGCAGCAATAGTGATGAGAAGAAACGGCCTCCATGATAGCACCAGTACCGAGGTGCCATCAGAGCCAACGTTGCCATGGAAACTGTGAGGAGAGGCGGGTGAGAGGCCTAGGAAGTCTTTTACAATGGAATGTGGTGCTCCTGGAGAGAATGGGCATGTTGCATTGCATCCTAAATGCGATTCAGATAAGTAGCAATCCTGTGTGATAGGCACAGCAGAGAGGACAAATGGCTTGCAAAGTGGGAGGCAGTGCTGGGGTCAGGGGCTGGGGATTGCCTCTAGGTTGTGTCTCTGAGAACAGCTGCCCCAGCACCCTTTTAGGAAGGCATCTGAGCAGCTGCCCTGTACAGAATAGACACAGCAGGAGGAAAGAGTTCCAGGCATGGTCATGCTTTTCCATCTTCGCCACTGGGTAGGGCAGTTCCGGTTTAATAGTGGCACACACCGTTCTTTAAGACACAATACAGCAACTTTCTGAGCCTTGTTTCTAATGTGAAGGCTTATAAAAATCTCTCTGGTGATTCCCCAAGAACAAAAAGGGAAGGCTGGTGTAGAAAGAAGTCAGAAAGTCTATCTGGGTGGCTTTTAAGCTCAGTGACGCTTTCCACTGGGTATGCTCTTTGTTTGAAAGCTTTCCTCCCTATGTTATGCAGTTCCATGTGCAATCATCCCTCCTGTTAGTCCACACATCAACAGACACTTGTGAAGAAAATCACTCTTGTTGCACAGTCCACCTGTCTGAAAGAAGCACTGGGCGGGGTGGGTGGGGCGGGGCGGGGCGATGGGGTGGAGCTGTGTCACAAAGCAGGTTCTGAAGAACTTGCATCTCAGAGGTGGCTACCTCAAGGTCACCAGACAATGTCCTCACCAGATGGTGGTAGCTTGCCCAAGTCTAGCTTGCTACAAGAATCTGGAGTTTGGCATCTAGGTGACAAGGGAGCTGATGTCATCAGTATAGGCCGGTCTCCATTCTCCCTCCTACTTAGGAGACCCCGCTGCTGAATTTTTCCTCAATATGTATATTTATGACAAAAGTGTGGTATCTGTTGTGTAGTGTGCATGCTGATCTATTCATAGAATAAAAATTTAACCTAAATTGTGCATTTTTTAGTCACTTTTGTTAACCACAAGTTGGGATGCTAGAAGGAATGTCATGTGCTTCTCTCATCCAAAGCAAATAGCAATGAGTGACACTTCATGTGGACCTCAGAGAGCACCATCAGTGGTTTGGGGAGACAGCAGAATGGTGTTTAAAACCCACCTTTCCCACTTACCAGCTGTGGGAATTTTATCTTCCTCAACTTACGTTTCCCCTTTGTAGAATGAAGATGAGAAAATTGCTCAGATTTGGGGCAGGAGTCAAAGAAAGCTTAGATGGCTCCTATCTTGTGTGACCAGTGGAATTCTGGTAAGTTCTTCCCCCTAATGAAGAGTACAGACGACAGTGAAAATTCATTCCAGTATAGTGGGAAAGCTAGTCCAGAAGGGTAGCAGATGGAAAGGGAGATTGACCTTGAGGTCAGCCAGTGTAGGCCAGAAGGTGTGGTATCCTTCATAGAGTACACCCTAGAAATATCCAAAAAGATAACTCTACTTTAAGAATTGCCCCAACCCCAAATAGGTTTTAAACCCCTCTAAAGACAAAGAACTACACTAGTGAGGGTTCTTTAGAGGAACAGAACCAATGGAATGAAAATATATTAATATATATATGTATGTATGTATATATATATATATGTATATATATACATATATATATTTATGGTCTTAAGAGATTCCATAATATAGATTAGTAAATTCAACAGTGACTGTCTGTACCTGGTGCTGCTCAGTCCATGAGGCTGAGGGCCTCAGCAGTTCCAGTCTGGTGCTGAAAGCCTGGAGGATTCTCAGAGAACCTATGGTCTTCAGACCCTGTCAGGAGGCTGAAGAGACTGGGGTCTGATGGCGGAGAAGCATGGTACCAGCTGCAGCAGGAGAGTCACAGTCAGCAAAGGTATGCAGCATGCAAAGCTGCTTTTTCCTAAGATCCCTTCATATCTGGGCTCTTCTCCCCTCAATCAATCCTTCCTGGAAACACTCTTACAGACCTAAAAGTGAGTCTCTTGGATGATTCCAAACCCAATCGAGTTGACAACCATAAGCCATCCTTCCAGCTACTTTCACACATTGCTTCCCTGGGCACCTGACAAGGAGTAGCCATGGCTTCTGTGCAGAGGTCTTCTCAGATCACAGACCTAGCTCCAAGTTGCTTCTAATGTTTCCCTAAGTGGCTGTTTCTACAGAGTGCTTTCCTGATGCTAATTTAGAATTCTGCGAACAGTCTAGAACAAAGACCTCAGGCCTCATCTCTAAAGATTCACTTCTCCTAATGCCACCAATTACAAGAAGAATTCATAAAGTGGTATGAAGCATATGTTGCATTACCTAAGTCTTAGGTCCATTGATTTCACTGAAAGCAGTCATTCAAAGGACATGGTATCCCAAACAAACAGACTGACATGAAGCAGGAGCTAGTGATTAGAATTCTAAGAAGTTTTCCCTTGGAAAAAAAGCTTTGTAGTGAGGCTGTGATGCCCAGAAAAGAGGAAAAGGAGCCGAGTTGCAGAGGGAGCTCGGAATAACTTGAAAATCAAATGCAGTCTCCACATTTTAGGAGTTAGATGAGCACACAGTGAAATCTCAGCCTCTGTTCTTTCATTAAGATTTCTATTCTGTCTTCTATGAAGGCTGGTATCAAGCAGTGGACAAACACAGAGCATACACCCCCACCCCAGAAGGTTCAGAGGGCTCCCAGTCAAGGTCGGCCCTGTCATTAGTCGGAACAAGCAGCAGCCCTGAGCTGCAAAATATTAGAAGCAATGAAAACTCAGAGTGACTGCAGGTCCTGTGACTGACTGTAGGCTGGCAGGAACCAACACTACCAGTCCACCTGGAGCAATGAGAGTCTTCATTTCCACCTTCCCATTCAGTCAGAGACATGCAGTATTGATTTCCAACATCGAATTGCACAGAGAGTTCTTTGGCTATTGTGACTGAATGTAGCTATTCCTGGTATATATATATAAAACAAAACAAAAGGGGGAAAACTTGAAGGAGTTGGACAATTTGATATACTGTACACTCAAACCTATTTGAATAAGCAAATTGCATTGATTTATATAACACCTTTACTATCTGAATCCCTATGACAAGATGAAATTCTAAAGAACTTTAAACTGGGTTTGTTTAAAGACAAGATGCATCAGAAAGCACTGTGTTTCTGTGTGATAATTGTGAACTCTCCCAAATAAGCAACCCATCAACACACACACACACACACACACACACACACACACACACACACATCTAGCAGTGGTCTCTACGCTGTGTGCTCAGCAAAAGGCAGACAATCCTGTATCTAAATCCAGTGTCACCACATGTACTCTTATTATGCAATTTAATTAAATAATATTTAAAACAATTTATATCAGCTCTGGAGAAATGGCTTAGAGATTAAGAGAGCCCACTGCTCTGGCAGAGGACCTGAATTTGGTCCCATACCTCTATCAGGTGACTCCCAGCTGCCTGTAACTCCAGCTGCAGGGAATCCAACGCCCTCTTCTGGCTTCCACAGGCATCACACACATGTGCACAAACTCACACAGATATAAATAAAAGTAATTTGTAAAAAAAATAAGTTATATACATATAGGGAGCAAAAATTATCATTTATAAAAATCCTATCAGAAAGAAGCATGTGGACAAGTCACCTAAAAATTCCATCCAAGCAAAGGAGCAAGTGGAGGGATTGGGGAGGCAATGGTCAGGAAAGTCAGAGAACAACAATCTACTCTGTATGGTCCTTACACCCTCCCTTCTACTTCAGACACTGAAACTGGGCCCCATAACAGATGCTGCATGGATATCACATGTGAGGGGCACCAATGAAAAACACTAATCACAGAATCACACTCAACAGTGAGGTCATGAACTACTTCATAAGGCTAAGGAACTAGAGTATAATTGTGGGTTTTAAGTTTAAATGAAATATGTAAGAGCTATGTAAAGTATTTATCGTGATTCCTATTTTAACATTCTTTTATTAGGAAAAGAGCTAAATGTCAAAGAAAAGCAAATTAAAACTGCTTTAGGATTTCATCCCACTCCAGTCCAAGGGGCTATCATAAAGGAAACGTGACAACAGATGCTGGCCAAGGTGCAGAGGAAAAATGGGTCCTTACACACTCCTGGAAGGAGTGTAAACTGGGGTAGCCATTATGGAAACCAGTACAGAGGTCCCTCAGAAAAGCTAAACATAGAACTATCATATGGCCCACCCAGCTCTACCACCCAAGGGATTTAAATCAGCATGTGAGAGAGATTTGCGCACAACCTTGCTTATTACTGCACTTTCCATAAGAGACAAGTTATAGAACTCACTTAGATGTCTGTCAGCAGATGGGTGGATTTTAAAATATTAGGTACACATACACAATGGAATTGTATTCAGCCAGAAAATAATGAAAATATGACACTTTCAGGAAAAAAGTGGATTGAGTTGGAGCTCATTATGTCACGCAAAATAAGCCAGAAAGGGTGGGTATTGTGTGTGTTTCTCTCCATTGTAGAATCAGATCGTGTGTGTGTGTGTGTGTGTGTGTGTGTGTGTGTGTGTGTGTGTGTGTGCGCGCGTGCGCGCTTGCACGTGTGTGAAAAGAGAAGGTAATGAAATGTATGTGACATGAGAGCAGAAAGGGTCCTGCTGGGGAGGAAAAGGAAGGAGAGTGGGGAGACAGTGGAAGAGAAACAAACAGTAACAGGATACAGTGGGATACCTCAGGAAAATGCTACCGTGACACACACAACTTTATGTACCAAATTAACAATTAATTTAAGATGAAAAATGAACACATACTTCCTCCCTATATTTAAAAAGACCAAGAGGGCATCTGGAAAGGAGGCTCAGTGGGGAAAGTATTTGTCCCACAGGCATGAGGAAACTTGAGTTCAGACCCCAGAACCCACGTAAAGCCAGGCATAGTCACGCATGCCTGTAATCTCAGTGCCCTTCTGTGAAATGTGAAGCGGGCAAGATGTTTTCCAGCCAAGTCCCTGGGCCAGCTAGCCTAGAACACACAGCAGCAAGCAACAGAGCGATCCTGTCGCCAACAGGAAGACCAAGACCAACACCTGAAGCTGTCCTTCACACATGTGCTGTCACACACAAGCTGCTGCACTTGTACACATAAGTGCAGACACACCTACACACACAAAATTAAAACTTTTTAGTTAAAATTTATTAAAAAAAAAAAAAAAACTTAATACGTTCTCAGGGCCAGAGAGCTTACTGTATAATCACGACGACCTGACTTCCAGCCCACAGCACCCACGTTAAAAAGCTAGGCATGGCCACGTGCACCTGTGACCCCGTCACTTTGGGCTGAGAGAGGAAGACCATCGAAGCTCATCTCCAGGTTCAGTGGGAGACCCTGTCTCCAGGAAAGAAAGCAGAGAGTGGTAGAATAGGTCACCCAATAGCCTCCGCTGGCTTCTGCCAATAAACCCATACATACATGTGCACATGGAAGAGACGCACAACGAATATGTTCCTACTTAAAGCACTACTTTTTAATTTTTCTGCAAACAAGGCAAATTCTACAATGTCCTGAAGTAGGATACAGAATAACCAAAATACAATACAGCTCACAGAGACTTTCCCACAGAGAACTTTCATCATAAACCTTGATGCAATTTCTATATTACCCAACATCATGACAGAATTGGCTGGCTTCATCTGCATGCAGTATGTCATTTATTCAATCAATCAAAATCCTGGGTGCTTACCTGCTATATCCCAGAAACTCTGACCTGTGAGAATTCTTTGTAAAGTAGAAGGTGCTCTTCAAATATCAGTGGCTGCTTTAGTAGTTCCCAGACATTGGCTTCCCTTTGGCAGTTCTTGGCTGCTCTTGAGAAAGAAAAGAGACTGGATAAGTTTCACAGAGATAACAGAATTCTCAACCACTGCCACCTTTTGTATGGGAATCGGAGGATATTGTCATGTAACCAACACTAAAGGCGGCAGAGCTCAGCTAGGTGGCCTGACAGAGGACAGAATGTTGGGGAGGCAGCACCACCTAATGGCTGCTGGACAGAGCCTAGATCACCACCTTGAGAATATTGGCTGCTACTTTTTCATATTGAGGAGTTTTACTTATAGGCAGAATAGGCATCTGTGCTGTTATTTTTAACCAAAGTCCAAAGAAGCACATTGCCTGGACCACCTCCTCACAGGCTGGTGGACACAGGACTGGACGACGTGAAGATTACTGGAGCTAATACAAACCACGGAGCATACTCAAAGCTGACGGACTCAGGGCTCCACCACTGATAAAAGTCTATCCTGTGTTCTGCTAAAGTCACCTCTTGTAATTCTTGCTTCAGCCAAAGAAAATAGAAACAAAACACCTTAGCATGGACACTGCTTAATACACAATGTTTTAGCATCTGTCCAAAAATGAGCTTCAAGGGGAATCCAGCCTAGGCTCTCTTTTCAAAGAGTATCTTCAAAGAAGCTGATGGAGACAAGGGTAGGTGTCTCCTCCTTCTCATTGCTAAACATGGACCTGAAGAAATGTTGCCTTTAGCTTTTTTTCCACCCTAATCATGAATTGCCATCAATCAGAGGCAGCCCGAACCCTTGTGCACCCAAAGGAACAAAGCATGTTGTTTTATTGGGCTAATTCATTAAAACATTCAGTTTCATTACTTCCAAATAACTTTTCTGAAAAATAGAATCCTCCTCCCCCACCATCCTCTCCTACTGCTTTTGAATCCGATTTCTGTCTTTGAGGTTCAACTCTGATTTTACCTCCTCACTGAGTCTCTAACTACTCCTTCATTTTCTCATCAGCATCCTGGTGTTCGGGGGCCCATGTACCTATTACTATACCCTCCTGTCTAATTTTCATTCTTACATTATTCCAGCCAGACAGCTTGGGTTGTGTTGGCTTCTTTATACAGAGTCTCAATACATAGCCTAAGCTGATGACATATGTATGATCCTCATGCCAAAGCCTCCTTTAGTGCTGGGATTGCAGGTGTGTGCCACCACATCTGGATGCCATTCTGGTTCTGATCTATGTTTTGAACAGTGAACATTACTGGGGAACAAAGCCACATACCCTTGGATCTGTCCATAGATAAGATCTACAATATGTTCTCACTATTTAAGCCCATCTCGCCTGGGTCCACTGAGAAATCCTTCATTCTCTCTACTGACTTCTATTGCATTTCTATTTTCAGCTCTTCCATCTCGTTCCCATCCTTCTCAAGTCCTGAGCAAACCACAGCCAGACCATCACAGCACTTACCTTACTGAGTTCACAGATGACTTCTGTTTCATCTCCCTTGATGGTCCATTTTCACAAACATCCCTCCTTCCCATTGTTTCTCCCTTTCACTAGCCTCTGCCAGACATTTCTGTCACAGCTCTCCTCTTTGCCTCGACATCTAACCTACAGATTCTCTCCACATTCTCCATCTCACCCTCTCTCTGGAATCTTCCTTCTTTGGTCAAAAACACTACTCTTAGCCTGGGCGCAGCAGCACATACCCACAATCTGAGCCCTTGGGAGGTTGAAGAGCAGGAAGCAATTTCAAGGCGAGCATGGTCATCACAGCAAGACTCTGTCTCAAAATAATAATGACAACAACAGCCACGTGCCTAGACCTCTACCCTCGAGCCTCCTGTCAGCAAGTTTCAGCCTGCCTTCCTCCTTGTTAAACTCCTAGAGCTAGCAGCTTCAACTTTGCCACTGTGTCTTCCCACCGTTTTAATTCCGGGGCTGGAGAGATGGCTCAGAGGTTAAGAGCACTGGCTGCTCTTCCAAGAGGTTCTGAGTTCAATTCCCAGCAACCGCATGGTGGCTCACAACCACCTGGAGATCTGGTGCCCTCTTTTGGCATGCAGGCAGAACACTGTATACATAATAAATAAATCTTTAAAAAAAAAAAAAGAAAGAAAAAGAAAATGTCTTTAAAAAAAAAAAAAAAAAAAAAAAAAAAAAAAAGGGGGCTGGAGAGATGGCTCAGCGGTTAAGAACACTGACTGTTCTTCCAGAGGTCCTGAGTTCAATTCCCAGCAACCACATGGTGGCTCACAACCATCTGTAATGAGATCTGGCACCCTCTTCTGGCCTGCAGGTATCCATGCAGACAGAATATTGTATACATAATAAATAAAATAAATCTTTAACAAAAAAAAAAAAAAAAAAAAAAAAAAAAAAAAAAAAAAAAAAGAATTCCCTAACTGCCAGACTTTCCTGTCACCGTCAATGGCATTGTGGCTCCTCCAGCACCAGTATGCTGATTACCCAATCCAAAGACCTACTCTTGGACTTCCTCTTTGCCATCTCTCTGCAGTACCAGCCTCAGCACCAGTATTGTGAAATCCCTTCTTTCTGTGGCTTCCAAGCACTTATGGCTATTTTAACCTTCTGCCTCATCCCCAGTCATTCCTTCTTCTCTCCCTGTGTTTTGGTATGGTCTCTATAGTAACCACATGTCTGATGTATGTGATACATAAAAGGATGACTTAGATAGCTCTGGCTGTCAAGTTGATGTATCCAGGGGAACCTGAGAAGGGAATCACAACTGAGGGATTACTGGGATCACACTGGCCTGTGCTTATGTCTGAAGGGGATTATCTTGATTGTCTATTGAGGTAGGAGAGCCCAGTGCACAGTGCCCTTCCCTGGGCTATATACAAAAGCTAACCTTTGAGCCAGCAGGCAGCACTCCTCCATGGTTTCTGCTTCAAGCTCCTACATGAGTTCTTGCTCTGACTTCCTCCAATGATGGGCTATGACCTAGAATTGTAAGCCTGATAAATCCTTTCCTCCCTGAGGTTGCTCTTAGTTAGAGTGTTTGATCACAGCCACAAGAGAGGAAGCAAGCCAAAGCATTGCTTCTACGCAGCTAACATTCCACAGGAAGGCCGAAAATATCATAAACTGGCAAATTATTTAGTATGTGACAAAGTGAAGCAACTGTGACTATTGTGTATTCCACATATGAGACAGTAGAAGCCCAAAGAGTAAATGCTTTCCACAAGTATTTATAATCTACATTGGAAAGCTTCCAACCCAGCATTCTGATTGACGTCCACTCTTACCCACAATGCTACACAATACCATCAACACCCAATCAAAGACCTCTGGAAAATGAATTCTCAGATGGAAAAGAGTTTTTGCAGCTTGCTTCACTTTTCCTTAAGTTCTTACTTCCCTTGGTGCCTGCTCTATTGTTAGGATCCTGACCACAGTTATTAGCCCTACAGTAGGTCTCTCCACATACAATCCCAGGCACAAAGAGGTCTTTATTTTCTTGCAATCACCTAGGACAGATAGCTTGGGATGTTGAAGAATGTCAACACCTGTTGTGACTTGAACATAAAATGCCCTCCATAGGCTCATGTATTTGAGCCTTGGTCCCCAGTGGTGGCGCTGTTTGGGGAGTTTATGGACCCTTTAGAAAGTGGAGCCTTGCAAAAAAAAAAGTACATCATGGTGGGGGAAGCATGCTTTGATGTTTTGTAGACTGCACCCCCTCCCTTCTCCATCTCTCTTCCTCCCCACCATGTATGAATGTGATCACTCTGCTTTCTGACTGCTAGGCTGGCCTCAAGTTCCTGATGTCACGCCTTCCCATCATCATGGACTATACCCCCTCTGAAACCATAAGCCAAAGAAAAATCTCTCTCCTCAGAGCTGCTTTTTGCCAGGGTATTTTCTCACAGCAGCACAGAAGTAACTAATACAACATCCAAGGAAAAGTTTTAGCAAGAAAATATACAAAAATGAGGAATAAGTGTAGAAAAATCTTACGAAGCACAGGTTTATGTCTTAGGTATAAATATGTAGTGTTTAAATGAAAATGACCCACAGGTTCATTTCTTTAACTACTTAGTTCCCAGTTTGTGGAACTGTTTGGGAAGGATTGGGAGGTTTGACCTTGTTGGAAGAGGTGTGTTGCTGGAATGTGCTTTGTGATTTCAAAAGACTGGAGCTATTCTACCCCTGGTGTTCCCTCTGTCTGCCCGTGACTGGTGGATCAAGATGTGAGCTCTCAGCTGTTCCTACTGCCATGCCCTATGTCTACCATCATGGACTCTAAGCCTCTGAAACGAGAAGCCCAAATTAAACATGTTTTTATATGTTGCCTTGGTCATGATGTCTATCACAACAATAGAAAGGTAACTAAGATAAACTATATAAGTGACAAACCCAACTCATCTATTCCATCTCTCCCCAGCTTCTGAAAATGACTATGGATAATATTTTCTAGACTAAGGGACCCAGCAAAAGGCAAGGTGGATGGCCATTGTGCCCCATGGCTCATCACTGCAGATACAGAGTATTAGATTTCCCCTTCCTGTTATGTTTCTACTCCTTCAACAATCTCCATTAAACTGACAGTCATACAAAAGTCAGTTCCATATTCTCAAAGTGGGAATCCATAAAAGTTAATTTAGTTCATTTGAAAAACCACTGAGCTCCTACTTTATGCAAAGCTCTGTGTCTGGTCTAAAGTTACAGATTAATCAATATTGGTCGAATGTATGCTGGGTAGAGGTGCTGGCATACACCTCAGGCCTGACTACCTGAGTTCGATTCCAAGATCCCACAAGGTGGCAGGAGAGAACAGACTCCCAAGGGTCTATTGCTCTGACCCCTACATATGTACAGATGCATTGATGTGCCTATACTCACATACACACAGGTGTACATACATGTGCACACACACAAACACACATGCACACCTTAAATGAAATAATTAATTAAGAAATGTTAGTTGTATAAATAAACAGAACTAAATCTTTGTTTTGCCACTTGATGAGGCCACACAGGTGACTAAGGCAAAATGCCATCCCTCAAGGAACAATGTCAACTGCATGTTGAGCAGGTAGACATTCAAATTTAACATATTTAAAAATGAGAGGTCAACCTTGCTT